TGACATTTACCAGATAGTTTTTTTTTTTTTGTTTCAATTTTTAAGTGTGTGCTGTGTAATTTAAGCATGTAATTCAGCAATTATGCTGAAAACAGTTTTGTACATATTTGAATCTGCCAAATGAAAGGAAAAAAAATCCTTTTAAAATGACAAACATACGAATAATACAACTTCTACATTTTTTCAAAGATCCTTATATTGGTTCAGCTGGCAAATAAACAATGCTGAAGTAAAACCTCTGCACATCAGTGAAAACACTTTTGTTTTCGTAAGCGTACTTTCAAAATTTAAATCATAAACTATCTTCTGACTCAATTTTGTTGGAAATAATTGTTTTTGCTACCAAACACCTCGCATCATAAATCAGAAACCCCAATTTTATGAGTATGGCTCAGAGAATAAACATTAGACTAATTTCCTGACTAACCATTACGACCTACAAATGATCTTGGGCAGGATAAACCTAATCTTTGCAGGTTTAGTGTACTATACACCATCAGTTCAGTATTCAGAATTTACTATTAACACAGTGCTTCACATAAATTTATTTTTTGAGCCATAGAAGTCTCTATATTAACAAAAGCAGAGCTTTCGAGACTAGCTGAGATATTTATTAATATTAACAAAGATATTCTTCAGGTGAAATAATGGTAGGTGTTTTAGAATATGAATAAAATTAGAAATTAAATCTCTATAATTTTTTTTAAATTTTGTAATATTTGTGGTTTATTTTTCCTATTCTTTAAATCAAAGTTGATCATTTTTCATATAATTTTAGGAATTAGAATGTTACAGCATTTTGATTGAATGTACTTCAAATCATGACACTTAATATTTCTATAAAATAGCACAGTATCTCAGCATGTGTACAATAATACATGTACAGGAATGTAGAGATCAAGCATGACCTGATTACTAAAACCTGACCTCATTCAATCATGTCACAAGGGAGGTGAAGGTAAGGTCGTCCTGTTTAAATGTCACATGATCAGAGAAAGGAAATGAAGTGCGATCTTTCTAATAAAATCAGCTGCAGTTGAAAGTGTTACTTAGTATAATACATTGATAATAAGAGGGCCTTAAAAAAGCATACCATAAAACCTTGAATAGAAGCCCATTGGGCTTAATCTGGAGAAGAATCCCATCTCGAATTTAAGCCCCACTCTTTACTTTGCAAAAGTAGCCTCAAACAGAAGCCCATCAAAAAAAAGAAGCCTATCTCGAAAAGAAGTAGTTTTTGTAGTTTTCGTACCTTGTTTTAATTCTCTTTATTTTTGTTGTAGAATATTTATCTTGTTTCTTGCTTAACTTTTTGTGTGCTGTATTAAAGTTTGAAATTGTATTTCAACACGGCCCCAGGGAAGAACAGGCATTGGCTGAGTCTGGGCCACACATGTATAAATAAAGTTTATTATTATTATAATTATTATTAAGCCCATCCAAAGGTTGCCAAAAAAAAGAAGCCCAGGGCTTCTATTTAAGGTTTTACTTTATTCATAATTAATATGTGTGCATGTACAATGCATCTCTATTCTCATATGTTAATGTGTGTACATTATCAATGCATCTCTATACTCACAAGATGTTAATTAGTATGTATGTATTTACAATGCATCTCTATAATTACATGATATTAATTAATGTGAATGTATCTACAATGCATCTCAATACTCACAAAGATGTTAATAAGTGTGTATGTATTTACAATGCATTTCTATACTTACAAGATGTAAATAAATAAATTAGTTGCTTTTGTATCAACTACAAGAGATTGGATGGTGATGAACTGTATTATTACATTGGCACTTACCCTGTTTTCAGCATATATCATCTGAATGACATTCTGTTGTTTGGGTTCAGAACTACTGACGTCATTAGAGGCTTCCTTGTCCGTATCAGCTGGCTTTGCTGCCCTCTTCTCAAGTTCATCCTGTAAAGCATTAATGAAGGACAATTAAACAAAGGGGTAAAGACATCACTTGTTTCTACATTCAGAGACCCTCTAATTTGAGAACAATTTTCAAACAATCTTTTAACATAAAGCTAGCCCTTTAAATGGAGACCAAAACCTTCAGTCCCTTAGGTTGCCTCGAATTCCTGACGGCAGTGGGGTCAAGAAAAGCCCAGAGCCCCTCAGAGGGGGTCTGGGGTAAAACTCCAACAATAGAAGGATTTGAATTTATTAAATTTTGACGTTTCACAATCTGCTAACATTACATAAATCACAATCTTGAGAATTGTGGTTCTTGTCACCTACCTGCTTCTTTTTCAGATTAGCTATCTGTGATTCTACTCGTGATATTTCCCTATCAACTTTCTCCATACATGCCAACAAATCATCTTTTGAAAGTTTTGATGCCGTTTCTTGGTCACAGGGTGTTGGTGAAATATTTTCCACTTTGGGAATAAATGGAGGTTCCTGTATAAAAGGCGACAATTAAAGAAAGTACTTCTTGCATTGTTTTTCATGTAAAATTGATGTAATTAATAATGTTCTAGAGCACAGTCTGTAGAAGTTTTGGTTTCCTTAGGTTTTCACTTGTTTTTTCTTTTTCTCATAAATGCTGTACTTGGTGGAAGCTACCGGAGCCCAGCAAACTGACGCCGAGGTACCTGCGTGTACATGGTAGTGATGGCGATGCTATCTCAAAATCGGGAGTGCGCACTCCCCTCCCCCCTTCGCGTTCTTTTGTCTTTGTTTCTTGTGGCTTCAAAAGCGCCTTGAGACGGTTTTCTGTGGAAGGCGCTATATAAATATACGACCATCGACCATAATTTTGTAAAGCAGACATTAATTAAATATCCATTAATCAATATAGTTCACAGACCTCAAATTCATTGTGACAATTTAATCATTAATGTTACTATATTATCATTTTTAATAGTATTATTATTAGCACTATTTTTACTCTCACCTTTTTGATCTCAACTGGTTGTACTTGAGGTTGATCTGTAGGCTGGTGTAGTATACGAATTGGTTTAGCTTCAACTTCAGGGTCATTCAAACGAGGGCGCTTTGCTATGACCTCAGGTGGCTCATGATGTGCAGCAACTCCCAGTTGATTTGCACCAAAATCATGTTGGTGGTAATATTCTGCAGTCCTTCAAAGCAATCAAATCAACATTTTTGTAAGTATAAAATGTGTACTCCTTTTTGCTTTCTTCTCTCACTTTAAGACTGTACATAAAAAAAAATAAACTTTGCAACACCATGCTTTTTTTTTTAATGGATGTGAATCAACATATTTTTAATGTATTTGTGAAATAATAAGAAGGTATCCAACCCCCTCGGATAGCTCATAAAAATGAAGGTAATTGTGAATGAGCCAAGTTTCATATTGGAAACATGTGAAAAAAGCACTTGTCAAAACAGTTAAAAAAATGGTAACTACAGGATAATGAATAGATTACACTTGATAAGAGATATAAACCAATCCTCTACAAGTACCAAGGTTTCTGGGTAGCCAATGGTTGCATGCATGATAGTTTTTATAACCCAGATATACATCAGCCAAAGATCATATGCAGCAAATGACTGCCATAGATTTATAAGTTCTGAGAGATATTTTTATGCTTTAAACCAAACTTCTGTGAGATCAGACTTGCTACAAGGATCGTGGTTCCTTTACAGCCAATAGATACGAAAAAACTTCTGCAAAGGGCAAGGTTCTTATACAGCTTTTTATTACATTACAAATAAACTAGACCTATTTGAGGGCAATGGTCAATTTCATAACCTGATTTTTTTAAGCTTAAAAGTCAATATTTTGGAAATAAAAATTGTATAGGAACTAAAAATTAAATTATGGTTACTATATTAGTTTTATGATCATAAAACATGTAAAGTAAATCCTCTTGTAACAGTCTTACCTATCAGCTGTTTGATGTCCATGAAATTCTGATAACAGCGATGGACGTCTTCGATTCATTGGAGCACCATACTGGGAATCTCTGTGATCCCATGAGTTGTATTCCTATAGGAAGTCAATGGTAAATATCATATTAAAATATAATTATGGATGCATTAAATATAAAATAGATTTAATGTCTCACTGAAGACAAAAAATAACAAATCTCATGTGATACCACATTTTACCAAGCAATAAAAATGTCACATACAATAATTTTTATTTACATATATAAAGCAATTCTTTCATTTCTGAGGATGACATAATTCACACGATGGTGTGCATTTCGATACTTGGAGTATGCATTATACTATCTTAAAGCAATTGTGGTAAAGGCAAGCCAAACCAGTCACTCATCGCAAATGGTGTCTCAGAGATAACATTGGCCAAAACATGCTGGAAAGTCTAAATTTTTGAAATCTATTTTATTGCACTAAACTAACCTTTATATATGTATACATCAGGCTATGCTGTTATTTTCCCCTTTTTTCAAAGTTAAAACATCAACTTTTAAGGATTTGGTAATGGTTGCTGCCTGAGAAATGCTCGAAATCGTAACCTTTGAAGGCTGATTTCTCAAATATTCTTCTTTAAACAGTTGTATGTTTGAACACTTGTAACTTCATAGGGAAATATCGGATTTAAATGATTCTATGACCATTTTATAGCTCTTATTCTACTGTTTAACCCTGTATTAATAACATAAATCGATTTTTGCAACCAGTGACTAGTTTGGCTTGTCTTTGCCACAATTGTAGTTTGTTGACAGCTTCTTATCAATACAGCATCTCAAGATGGCCATCACCGAATCATTAAAAAATGTTGTTAACAACAACATAACATGATGTGTAGATACAAAGGTTAGTTTAGTGCAATAAAATAGATTTTGAAAATTTTGCCATTCCAACATGTTTTGGCCATTACACGATTTGAAAGGAGCGACTGGTTTGGCTTGTCTTTGACACATATTGTAAGCGATAACACACACCTTCAATAAATTTTGGATTCAGTAGGTCTGACAGAATGCTGCCCTCAATGTACAAAACAAGCATTAAAAAATTTATTCCGTGCGCAATTAGGTTATACCAGTCCATCACTAATAAGGAGAGCGATCACGCTTCTCCGCGCTCCTGAACATGCTTTCAGGAGAGCAACTAACCGCGCTCCTTGATTTACCAGGCAACTAAAACAAAAATTAATGAAAAAAATTGTATTTTGAAACTTTGTCCATAATCAAAATCTATCGAATTTTGCAACTAAAGCTATATTCAGGTGTATAAAGCCACAAATTTTATAAGCGATTCCCACCACGAAATTCAAGGTGCCATCTCTACACCGGTCATCAACCTGCTCCTAAAAAATTCTAGATCACGAACCGCGGAGGCGAAGACCATCAGGATAGGCCCAGGCTACCCCAATTAATTAGCCTAGGTTTACTGACCTAGTATTGTAATTATACTCACTGCAATGCGACAAGGATTCCTACGACATTCAAGCAATGGTTTGGGTTGCTTAAATAATTATTTTCACATTACGTTCATTCATAAACAATGTTTGAAACACATTGTGTTTGAACCAACTTCGCTAAAAACAATAACAAACATTTTTTCCTCGAAGTCATGGTTGTAAACTCACTGCACGGCGTCTTGTTGCGGGGAGGCTAGTAATGTTATAGAAAGAATACGACTATGCAGTGTTCACTGTTATAATTTCAGAATAAAAACTTGTGAAAATAATGTGTGCCATAAAACATGAGTTTTCTTGAAGAATGGCAAACGTTATCTGCCCATGCATGAACTTTGTATCACGTGGTTCTGGGTTCTGTTTGCGTGATTGATGTTGTTGCGTAATTCGCTCGAGTAGCAGGTCGTGAGTACTGAGTAGTAATAACGGCTAGTTAGGCCTAGAATATTTTGAGTCGGCTTTTATTAAATTGATTGAATAATGTAAAAAAATATGCTCACCATATTCAAGTAAATTATTATTTAAATTTGAATAAACTAAAATGATTGTTGAAACTCACACGGGATTTAACGCAGAAAATATACAGACGTCTACGTGAAAAAATGAGGATTTCCCTAGGTAATACATGGTTTTGATGAGGGTTTTCCTAGAGAATACAAGTATTTCCAGTTGTTTGTTGTTTAATAATCAGCCGATAAAGTTGAAATTTTTTTATTTTAATGTTTGCAAATATAATGTCAATGTTCCAAAATAGATAAAAACCTTAAAATTTTGGAAACAGTTTGGAGATTAAAATAGGTGTAGTTATACACAGGTGACGCCAAAAAAAACGTGATATTACTTCGAGAGGGTTTATTCCAAGTGAGGCTCTGGAGTTAGAGTTTATTTGAGTGGGAGGCAGGGGAGGTTTTGAGGCAGGGGAGGTTTTGAGGCAGGGGAGGTTTTGGGGCCGGGGGAGGGCCGGTTCCCCTTCGATTATTGATTGCCTAAATTGCCTCAGAGGTTATTTCCAGGCGTCTAGAAAACAAAATTTCCCGGGGGCATGCCGGATCTCACTAGGGTAGTGATGTCTCTCAATTGCGCGTCCCCTACTTCGGACACCTGGATCCACACATGGGGAGGGGGGCGCCTATTCAAAGCTGTGAAACTTTCAAGGAGAGCAATTTAGTGCTCTCCTGCATTTTACATACATGATGGACTGTTATACAACAAACTGTTTTGAGGATGAATGAATCCTGTTAGATGTTTGAGGCTGTGACAATTAAGTTAGTTTCGAGTAATAATGTTTTTCCAAGGTTTGAATTAGCCTTTAAGTATAATTTTCTCATCACTGTGCTCATTTAAGCTTAATAATATTTGTTTGAGCAACACTGAACACTTTCATCCATTATAAAATTTAATTAGGCCTTTTTCTGTATTTTCGATGGCATAACATTATAACAAAGGTTTATGTGAAAAAATTCATTAAGATTGTTTTACTGGAGAGTTTTTCATAGACTAAAATAACTGAATAGTTTAAAAGTCCCAATGGGAACATAATGTCTAAGTTCTTTACATGATAAATGTCAACAGATATAAACCTTCAAATCAAATACTGTACTAGCATTAGAGGAATCTTTCGTTGCAACATTTATTACAACAGGTACAAACAGATAAATGATAACAACTTTGAATTTGAGTCGTAATCTTCCTTTTGATACTTACAACATCCCAGGTGCTTTCTTTTTTTACTTTCCATGACTTTGCTTTTAATTGTGTCTTATTCTCAACATCAGACTTTAAAAATGCCCTTTTAATTCATTAATCTGATGAAGTATAACATTGGCAAGTGGTTTTGTAATACCTGTGATGCAATATTACTTTATTGTTATTGAACTATGACTTTTGTCTTAGTCGTTATCTTGTTTGTCCTGGTATTTTGAAAAAAAATAAATACATATTGACAGAGGGTTACCCTTTCGGTGTATCCTAGGTCAGCTGATTAAACAAGTGAAATAATCCCTAAGCCTCTTTACAAGGATTTAGGGAGTGGAGTTGCTTTTTAGTTGTGAGTGAAAGTCCTGCTGTCAAGGGAATTGAACCAAGGACACTAGAATTAGAAGGCAAGCTATTCAATTCCACTCATTAAAAGATAAATTTGAAAGGCATTTGCTTATAAACCACTAAACTATTTAACTCCAATACATACTTATCATATTTCAGGTATATTTACAGAAGGAAGAAAAGTAACAGAATATAAAACTGACACGTTCTTAATCTTCCACTTTTCATCGACAAACAAAATACTAATTGTTACCTGTTGGCGCAAATCTTGATGTCCATGAGCCCCATACAGGCTGGCATAAGGAGTATCCCTGACAGCATAGTGTTGCGTTTCACGTGGAGCAAATACAAAGCGAGGCAACGGACTTTGAGGGCGCACTCTCTTATAAACATTCATTTGATCTCTCTGAGATCCACCTGGCATTCTGGAGGAAAAATCATTGATCGTAAAAAAAAACTAAATTCTAATGAAGCAGCTAAAATTATCCGCATACACGGTATTACGATAAAATGTATTCGTCCAATGAGAAATAATAATTGACTTCCATCACCTCAAAATAAAGTACAGGTATACAACCTACATACCTAGCACCTTTAATAAATTGGATTGGCACATTGTAGGCCTATATCTCTGATGTTACCACATTAAAAAAAAATTTTATTTTTTTTTTATTCATTAATTAATTGATCTATATATATATATTTTTTTTTTTATCTGAAATGCACTTTTAATATAAACTGTAATAATTTCCAAAGTGGTTTATAAAAAAAAAAAAAAAAAAAATCACTACAAAAATAAATATTGAATCAAAATAGTGAAGTCAACAATTGTCTACAAATGTTTACTACAAAATTCCATACTTTGGAATAAATTTGCTACTACTGTATGCAATATATTTATTATTTATTATACATAGTGGAATAACAAAGGAATAAAAATGCAAATCCCCAGAAAGAGTTTATGCCATATGTATCCCACTGGAAAGTTAGGAAGCAAAAAAACATACTTAAATAAAAATAGTACTCTTCACTTTCCCATTGCACCCCATTTGCTACATCCAGCCACCCTACACCCAGTGGCCACAGATTAACATTCTAATTGCTATATTAATTTGTAAAATCCATTAAGAATTAGTAAATGAACAACTGCACTAATATAATTTTTAATACTTAAATTAAATTAATTAAATGAACAAGCATTTAAAATTGAATTTTAAAAAAAACTCTAGCAAAGAAATATTTTTAATAGCAATTTAATTAACAGCATCACTTCTAGTTAAGTGGAAATTAGTTGAGCCATGAAAATCAAAAAGGAATTTGAAGATCATGATGATGTACGTACACATATTTATGGACTGCCTTGCATATTAAAGACTGTAAATACTATATGGTCCCACAATAACAAAATATATACATAAAATATGTAACTGTAAACCTACCAACAATGTATGTGTTGGACAAAAAAAATTTATGACTATGACTCAATAATATAAGTTCAAGGTTATCTGGTAAGTAACAAGAGGTCAAAGATCAGAAAATGGTATTGTGATATATAGAATAAAAAATGTTGCTGATTGGAAAGTAAAACAATATTATGTGGAAGGCACATTGGTATTTATCAACCAAAATGTAAAATATCATAATACTTGTTTTCATAAACACATGAACAAAAAATCAATATTTTGGGATTATAAAGAAATGTAAGAAAATATTAATTTTAATCTTTATTTTGCCTGCTGGCTCTATGAAATCTTTTCATCAAATAAGGCAACTATCAGACCCTTGAACTGTAAAACACATTGCAACATCTCATTCTTTATACATGACCATTGCGTTGTATCTTGAACAAGGGACTATGTTACTTTTTTACATTTGTCATTAACATATTATCTGTAATTTCTCTTCATCTAGATGCTTCAGGCACAACCATTTTTTTCATAAGAGTATGTATGCCTACGCTTTCAACCCCTCTCTCCTAAAGTGTATGTTTTGTAATTTGTACTCTATTGAAAATTACGGATGGCCCTAAATATTGTTTCTACAGTAAATCCTTGCAATTTATATACTGTAGACCCTTGAATTGGCTGAAAAGCAACTTTAAGATTTTCATACTGAAAAGTCAGTATATCATGAGCAAAACTGAACTGTTTGAACTGTCATAGAGTGTGAATTCAACACATCAGTACACCCATAGCCTGCAGGTAGAAAAAATGAAATAATACAGGAAACTTCACTGAAAAACACAGATGATCTTCGCTATATTTTCAGAAGAGGCAACATGAGATATGACAAGGTTTTACATTATGAAAAATAATCTTTTCTGCTTTTTTTTTTTTTTTATCAACATCATTAGTCCATGATTTTAACATAAACTACACTGCTGTTTTAAAACACAATAACAACTGACATGCGGATCAGCCAAAGAAGATCTATGATCCAGCTTGCAAATAGTCATAAGAAAAAGATATATTGTGTGGTAAACAATTTAAAATGATATAAAATTATATTATAAAATATATTGCCAATGTTGAATACTTAATCTAACTCTATTTAATAATTTAATGAAATTGTAACCTCCCTAGCCAAAAATACATGATGAACAGGGCCAAGACATTTCATAGTCCACATAAAATATGAATTTGTTAGTTTTTGATTTTCCTTCTGGGTATAAACAGTTAGCTGAAATTGATTAATAAAAAAATCATCACATTTTGTTTTTTCCTGCATAGTTTTCCATACTTTTCCTAAAACTTGTTAAGAAAAGAAAAATCAAAAGCAGAGCTTACTTTAGTGTTTGGACTAGAGAATTTGCCATTCCTACCATACAAATCTATTATACAATCCTAGCATATCACGTATGGTGTATACAGAGTGGACAGTGACAATGTACCAAAGACACGAACAAAATGTTCTACATTCTAAAAAGAAAGCAAATTTTAATAAATAATCCAAAAAGATGAATGTCAATATATGTTAAATTCACCTTTAATTTATATCCATACTTAAAAATCTTCTGAACCATTGCACTGTAATTGAACCTTTAAGGGATCTTCTTTGAAGTTGTATCTATTTTACATTTCTCAAGAACCACTACACAAAGAGTTTATGTACTGTACTGTATTACAGGGCTTATACTGTACTGTAGCAACTGTATACAGTAATAGGATTCAATAGCTCAAACATTTGAGTCCAAAACTTACACAATATTGTATAACTATATACTCCTAGTATTTCAATGTAATTAGGATTATTTTGACAACTGAAATCATTACTTGCTGACCTTTTAAAAAGCTAGGCTAAAGACTTATTCTAAATTGAATGACCAGTCTCAGACGGCGACCATGTTTCTACATAAATGTGATATGTTGACACTTAATGAAAGTAGAGCCAACCTCCTCATTTTATGTCAAGGCAAACTTACATTAAATTCTAGCCAAAAAAAAGATATAAATTATAATAAATTAAAATTCAATTGAAACATAAGCAGCAGTGAATTATTCCCAGTGGAAAATAAAGGAAGAGAGTGTTCCATTGAAGGAAGGTCTGACTGATGTATTGACAGACCCTTCAACTTTAATCAAGTAATGTACAGTACTCTGTAGTAAACATACATGAGCTGATGACATCCTCTGTACTTTTTATACCTTGTTTAGCAAACCTGCTGCCAGCCAATAATTGATTGCGAATAAAAATAAATTTTAGTTTTGGCCAATTAGTGTACCCACTACTGCCATGAAAAAATGGAAATTTCAGAAAAAAATAAGTTTTCTATATTTTTATTATGCCAGCTGCTGCCTTGAAATCTCAAAAAATAAGATCTTCCTAATTACATAAATTTAAAGCATTTAACCATCCCATTACTAAAATTTTTTACAATCAATAATCATATTTTATTTTTATTTTCTCCGCTATCTAGATGTTTTTGGCAGAACTATTTGCTAAATAAGAAAGCAAAATTTTACTATTTTTTTTCACCCTCCACTGACAATTTTTAAAACAATAAGTTTGCGAAACAAGGTATAAAAAAGTCTAGCTGTACAATGATTTTCCTTTAAAATTTAAATAAATGGTGGTCATACCTAGACCTCCATCACTGAAAGATTAATGAGAGTAAAGAAGAAAATGATACTAATAAATATCTGTGTATTTTCCAGAAAACCACCCAAAACAGAAGATAAATGTAATGCAAACCAATGAGAATACAGGTGGTAAGGTAGTAGCATTGAACGTAACATCGCCACTCTTTCAAGACAAACCCTCTCATAATAAAATCTTTTTGGATAAGAACTCAACATTAGTTATGTGTGCACTTTATAGGACCTGTTTTTGGAAGAGGAAGGTGTTACCCTGTTAATTGAGTCACGTCAGTCCCTGTCTTTATTGAAGGATGTGACTACCTCTATTTGGCAGCTATGATACTGACCACGCCTGTACAAAATTCAATACAATAGCACTGATACAGTAGCTATGGGTTGCCACACATATACACACATTGCAGGGTTTGAATTTTCCGACAGCAATTGCTATAGAAAGGGCCTTCCACTGCTGTGGTAAATCCCAGGATCGACAGCAAGCTTTTAGCTGTTGTGTTGCTTAACCCAGGCTACTGTAAGCCTAGCAACAGATTTTATAATTAAAAACAATAAAAACAGTTGATTGTTTTTGTAGAAGAATAAACCGCTGTAATAAAACGATAGCTAACAGCAACTTCTTGCTGATGGAGCATTTTGAAGAAATTCAAACCCTGCATTGGAACCAAGCAGTTTGGGTAGTAAGGGAAATGACCATTATTCAATATCAATCTAAGGTCCTATGATTTTGAGATTTTCAGCATCTCAGTGTGGTAAAGGGTAGGTCTAAGTCATGCTACAAAGTAGGCCTACAGAGCTAGGTAGGCCTAGGCCTACTGTAAGCCTTGCCATGAGAAACAATTTTTGTCACGAAATATGACTTGGATTTTACTGTTTTCTGCACCAAAATAATACTTTACAGAAGTCAAAATTACCTGTGCTCACAGTGAACTATTCATTTGAAGTGATTTCCGAATAAAAACATGACCATAAATGCCCAAATGGAGTGTTATTATTCTTTTCATAAAGGTCGCGAATCCATTCCCCAATGATCAAAAAGTCAGATTTACTGTACAGTATGCCTGAACAAGCATGAACATCTCAAATATAATATATCTCATCTGAAAAAGATTGATATTTATTGCTTTAAACTTTATATCACTTTATTAGTTTAAATGTTTTCTCTCTTAGCTGATGTAACAATTCTAATTATTTCTGAAGACTTTTAAATACATTTTAAAGTGTTTTTGTAGTTAAAAATTATCGTTCGTAATGACGTCATCGCCGCAAATTTGGTTCGTAAAATCAAGAGTTCGTAAATGGGAAGTTCGTAATTGGCAGGTAACTGTACTTCC